GCAGGGAGGGAGTCCCGGAGCATCAGCAAGTTGCTCGCTGATGAAGACCTGAGGAAGCAGAATGACTATGTGGAGGTAAGGGCTACTGCTGGTGGGGTGGGGGGGACTCAAGAAGGGGCCGGCAAGGATGGTCCTCCAGGAAGGTTCTGACTCACCACTCCTGCTGGAGAAAGGGGGACAGCCGCGGCCACTGTCTCCATCTCCTGCTGTGAAGTGGATTCTGATGCCACCCTTGGGAAGCAAGCGGAGTTGGAGCCCCCAGTGGCAGGTGCACCTTGTTCCTGAAAGGCACCCGAACCTATAGGGGACAGCTTTTCCAAGATGTAAACCTCAATCTGGCCATAGGGCCAGCCAGAGAGACCCCAGGGTGGGGCAGGGGCTGGCACAGAGGGCCTGTCGATGCAGACCCTGCTTACCTAGCAGGCTTTTTGCATTCTCCAGATGAGCACCTGGCTGCAGCCAGGTTAGAAAGGCCCTGGCAGTGTAAAGCTCTTTGCTGAGCACCTGCTAAGCTGAGGCATCTTCCACACCTCAAACAGCCCTAACAAAACCCATCCCTCCCAGGAGACATCAGCTCAGGGTCAAGACCTTGACCGATGAGGCCATTGAGCCACAGAGCTGGGCCTTGACCTGAGTGGCTCCCAAGTTCATATTTTGCTGGCTGGATCACAAGAACCTTGTGTATTTCCCAGAGGTGACAACAGCTCACTTCCTTGCCTCCTGCTGCCTCCTGGCAACTTAGCATGAGAAAAAGACCAGGGCAACTCCCATCCAGCCAGGGAGGAGGCTGCTGGTGGTCCCGGGATTATGCCCTCTATCTCCTGGGATCCCTGACTGGGAGAAGCAGGGTGCCCAGAGCTCACCTAGTTGCTGGAAGGTGGGAAGCTAGGGCTAGGGGCAGTGTGTGTGACCAAGGTCATGCAAGGAAACCTGCCAGTTCCCCCGGTCCTGTTCTGGGCCCATCCCATTGGGATCCTGACCTTGATGAAGCAGGGAAGACCACCAGTCCCTGGCAGGTGCAGGAAAGAGACCATCGGTATGTGATCCTGCCAGAGCCCAAGAGTGGGGCTGGTGGGTAGATGCCAGGAGGCACCTGGGGGCTGGGCTTCAGTTGGTCTGAGTGGGGACAGTGTCCCATAGGGGAAGGAGGGACAGCAGCATGCCTGGACCCGAGGGCTCAGCCTTGTTCTCCACATCTCCTCACCCACCTCCTGCAACTCTAGCGGGGTTGATGGTTAGAAGGGCCCCAGTGCACAGTAGGCTCAGGAACTGCCCAGATCTTGATGGGCTTCAGGTCCCCCTCAGCCTCATTTCTGCCCAGAGAAGCAGAGCTGCCTGCTTCATCGGGTCTGGTACCAAGTAGGACGTGGCAAGGGTTGAAACCAAGCGCGTTCCAGAACGCGGCCCATCTTCAGAATGCAGAGCTGCAGGCTCGTCTCTGCCCCACCGCGCCCCTTCCCCGCCGGCCCTTCCCCGCCGGCCCTGCCCCACCGCGCCCCTTCTCTGCCAACTCCATCTACAGAAGTGCCTCCGCCTGAACCGCACCATCCTGAAGTCTGAACTCGGCCTAGCGGAGGAGGACATCCTTGATGTCCCTCAGCTGTTCTGCCTGGAGAAGCTGACGAATGTCCCCTCTGAGCAGCAGAGCGAGAAGCCCTTAGCGAGGCCATACTTTCCTGATTTGGTGAGGAGCAGGGAGGGGGGGCGGGCTGGTGACACAGGCTGGCTGGTACCTCATCGGGCATGGTGCCAGGCTAGAGGTCAGGCCAGGAGACCGTAGTACCCAAAGGAAGTGGGCTGGAGGGGCCCTCTTCCTACTTGTTTTGGAGAGGAACCTGGTCTAGGGAGCAGGCCTGAGAGTTCTGTGGGCCAGGCCAGAGGCCCACACTCTGGGGGCTTTGGCCAGCTCATGACCCACCTGGCAGAGACCTGGGAGGCCCCCTTCCCGGGGAGGTGTTGCATCTTAGACCGAGTGTTCCCCTGGCCTGGGAACAAGAGCTGCCACAGCCCCCTATGTGTGGGGGACATATAGCAACCAGACAAGCTTCTTGGAATAAGGAATAAAGATGGGATAGGTACAGGGAAGTTGGCTGATGCAGCTGGGGGACCGGGAGAGCAGGAACACAGTACATCTAACCCCCAAAGGCCACACAGAGCCCTGGTCAGTAGAAGCAAGGAACCCCTGAAGCCAGGCAGGACTCGAGTGCTACTGCTGAAACAGTGGCAGCACTGGGAGATGTCTGCTAGACTCCTAGCTTGATGAGTCAGTCATGCCTGCAAGAGCATGGGCCACGAGAAGGCACCAACACTTCCTGTTCCTGCGTGATCCCACCACCAGGCAAGGAACTGCTGGATCTGCCTTGCCGCCAGCCCTACAGAGCCCCTTGCTTGGGAGAGGAGGCAGGACTCTTCCTGGCTCTGATTCCTGCCCGGGCCTGGCCCACTCTTCTCCCAATAGCTGCAGATGATTGTGATGGGCAAGAACCTAGGGGTCCCCAAGCCCTTCGGGCCCCAGATCAAAGGCACCTGCTGCCTGGAGACAGAGCTGTGCCGCCTGCTGGATCCCCTGGGCTTCAAGTGTACCTTCATCGGTGACTTCGACTGCTACCTGACGGCCGTGGGAGACTTCTGCGCCTGCGCCAACATCCGCCGGGTGCCCTTCGCCTTCAAGTGGTGGAACATGAAACCCTAGGGAGGCCCATGGGAGAATGCCAGCTCTGCCCTGCCCAAACACCCGCCCCCATAGGAGCCTGGGTGCTGGCTTAAGGAGGGCTGGGGATTCAGGCACTGAGCCCCCTCCCAGGCTCCGCCCCTTTGAGTGCAATTTGATGGCAGATGGGGCTGGCTTCTCCCCTCCATGGGGCATGGCGAATGAACTGTCCTTTACCTAAGAGGTGTCAGCTAATAAACTCAGCACTTTCGAATGCATCTTGGCAGCAGCCTGAGGGGGGGAGACGGGGAGGAAGGGGCTGAGAATGGAAGGCAGAGCCCCATCAGGGGTGCTAGCAGAGGAAGGATGAGATGGACCCCCCCCCAGCCCTCACCTCAACCCACCCAGCCCTCACCCCACCCCACCTCACCCCCTGCAAAGCTCACTCTAACATCTTCTGAGTAGGAAGTGGATAGGCCTCGGATTTGACAAATGTTTCTGAGTCCAGAACTGAGGTGGCGCCCTGCTGTATCTAACAAGAGCCTGGAGGTCAGTTGCTCAGCAGGTGGAAGGCTTGTCTCTTCCCCCACCCCCACCCTGCTGGCATCCTCTGGAGGGACACACTGAGCCTGCAGCGGCCACCTCAGGAACACTCCAGTTTGTGTCCATCTGGTCCCCTCTCAATGGCAGACTAAATGAGGGCCTTGCCTTCACCATGACTCCCAGCAACACCCTCCAGACCGCAAGGTAGCCAACCAGCTGGTTCCCATCGCACGGTTAAGTGGGGCACAGAGCTGAGCCTAGGCCCAGTCCAGGCTGCGCGTTTCTCAGCTCATGTCTTTGCAGGGTGTGAGAATGGAACGCACTTGCAGTCCTTGGTGTGGGAGGGTCATGCCCCTGCCTGCCTGAACCCTGTGATTGTGGTTGGCAGGCCTGGCATGGTGAAGCCCTGTCCTGGTCATCCCTGTCCCCAAGGGAGAGGGGTTCTGTGCACCTGCTCAGGGCTGTAACTTGCCTGAGGTCACACAGGACAGTGGGGACTGAGGGGCGGATGGTTGCAGCGTGCTATGCAGGCGACTAGTTCTGGATCCTGGCCTCCCGCGTGTGCCCACCATCTGGGCAGTTGGGAAGCCTCCTGCGCCGTGAGTGTGGAGCCTCGGGGTTCAGGGTCTACACTGGCCGGGCTGACACAGAACAAGCCTTAGCAGTGGTGCAGATGTCAAGGGCTGAGTCGGCTGACCGTGCACTGCAAGTCGGCATGCAAGCTGGTGTGGAGAGGCTGGAGCCATCGCTAGGGAGCAGGGAAGGGCCACTCCACGAGGACTGCCTCCTGCCCAGGGCCACAGGAGAACACTTCTGCTCTAAGCCCCCCATGCACTTGCCCAGGAGCCTCAGCAGGGCTAACCCCTTCTCGTTACTCCCTGGGCCCTGGCAGTATCATCCCAGACTCCTGCTTGTCAGCACATCTGGGGCAAGCTGGGATCTGCTGGTCCTCAGCAGAAGCTGGGCTGGCCCCACCCTGTGACATGTGCTGCTATGGGACAGCTCGGGCCTCACCTGCCAACGCAGGCCTCTTGGTACTCTGCTCCTGCCAGAAGTGAGCAAAGCTGGCCAGCCAACTTGGTGCTGCTTCCAGGCTCTGACCTGGTACTGCTCTAGGTGCTCTGGGCACTTGGGAAGGAAGCCAGTGGGCTTGAGCCTCACGTACTACAACTTTGGGCTTCTTCCATTCTCCACGAGTGGCAGGTGGTGATGCTAGAGGACCTCCTGCTGTCATCCTTGGCGTACTACAGTCCTGTGTGACCTTCCACTGTGGCAGTGACTTGGGCAGGGCCGTGAAGAGCCTGACCAGGGCTTTCAGCTCCTGGGCTCAGGCATCCTGCCTCTTGGTCCTGCCCTGTTCCCCAACCACCAACGGGCAGTGAGCACGGAGCAGCCCAGGACCCATTAAGTGGGGTGGAACTGGCCATCTGCTGCCCCCTGGTGGGCATTCAGGCACACATCCCAAAGGGAACAGCCTGCACTGAACAGGATAGAGCTAGGAGGAATAACGGTCTCCAAAAATTTGGGCACAGGCTTCAAATCTATGCCAAAAACTCACCCCTCAATCCAGTCGCACACAATCAAGTCCCCTGGCACATGTCAGCCACGTTCCTGGACATGCCCACACTGACAGGATCTTCCAGCAAGATAGAAAACCAAACCTCCAAATTGGACAACCCACCCTAGCCCTGCCTCCAGCAGCAGCGTTGGGGTGCCCCTTCTCCCTGCCCGAAGTTCCCAGGGGTGCCGAGCCCCAGACTGGCTGCACCTGCCTCGTTCCACTGCCAACCAAACACAAGAGCCAAGACCGAGTAAACAATGATGCAGTTTATTCAAAATGTTGACTCCAAGAAATATATATATAAAAAAAAATAAGACAATTACAGCACTAAACCAGGCACCTTCAACCGAACCGCGCCCCCCGCCCCGCCCCGCCCTCAGACTTCATTCCCTCTAGCCCGTCCAGGTCCACTTCGCCCGCTAGCGGGGGTCAGTACAGCAGCCTGGCTGCGGGGAGTGGAGCCACGTGTCCCTCTCCAGGAGTGCAGGAGCCAACCCTCCTTCTCGGAAGGAACTTCAGTTCCAGCTCTGAAGCAGGAGGGGATGGCAGGGGAGGAGCAGGGCGGCAGGCGTGAAGGGGCTGCAGTGGCTGGTCCGTTTCACCCACCGGAAGCTCCAGGCCCAGCTCGGCCTCTGCAACTGTGCGCTTAACCTTCTCGGGAGGGCACTCCGTCCGAGCCCCGAGCCAGCGAAGAGCTCGCGGCAGTCAGCAGGTCCCACAAGAGTGCGATGGTGGTGTGGGTCCATCGGGTCAGGCCAGCAGAGGCCCCAAAGCTGCTGGGACCAGGTCAACAGAGCTGAGCGTGAAGGCAGCCTGCAAGGTGCCACCTTGCCCTCTGTGAAGCCCGGGGCGGTTCCAGGCCGGAGCAGGTGCCAGCCACAGCCCACAGGAGCAGCCCCTGCAGGTGGCCGGAGTGGGAAAATAGGAAAAAAAAGCAACAATGACTAGGATCATTTTTGGCATTTTAACATGGACAGTGACAAGCGGTAATAATAGCAAAAAGCCAAAGTTTTCCAAAAAGACCAGTAATCACTTTTCCATCCACCCGAGTCTCACGCCCAAGCCCTTCCCCATCTTCCCAGAAGCACCGCGCAACTACAAGTCTACTTAAAGCACCCAAACCAGTCCAGACCCTCTGCCAACCAGGGCTGCCACGGCACACGGGCCCGAGGGAGAGGAGGGTTCCGGGGAAGGCACCTCATCACCGCAGGGCACACGATGCCAGTGACGAGCTCGGGCACAGGGCACTTGGCAGGGAGACGGGCGGCAGCCGTGCTGTCCACGCCTACATGTGGCGGGGCGGGGCCTCTTCGGTAACCCCAACTATTTGGTACCGCAGCCGAGTACGCACAGCTACCGCCAGCCGAGCAGGGAACAGTGTGGTGGGATCGGGCGGGTCCAGCGGGCAGAGCGGAGTGGCCGGTCCTTCTTTGCATGGCTGCTGGCACTGCTGCTCCTCGGTCTCTCGGCAGGGCCGCACCCTGGCCGCAGGGAGGGGGGGCCGCACAGCCAGTCCCCCAGGCAGACACAGAAGTGTCCCCATCACCTGATTTGCATCTAGACTTTGATAGCTAAAGGAGATAAAAATGACTGCATACATACCCCAGCCCCCACCAGGGGGACATGCCAGAATCTGGGATGCTGCAGGAGCCCACGAGCAGCCGAGGGGTTGCAGGCGGCAGTAAACGCCAGCAGGGGGAGGGGAGCAGGAGTGGGGCGGTCTTGGAGAAAAAAGGTAGGACAGGGGCGCAAGGGACTGGCCAGGCTCACGGCGCCGGCCCCCTAGGGGACCCCGTTTCTGGCAATCGTCTCCCAGACAGCACTGCGCTAATTACCACTGGGAAGGGCTGCCTAGGATGTGGATCCTAGAGTGAGAAAAACACGATTTGGAAGAAGAAAAAAAAAAAAAAGATTGCTCAAGGCTTCTGCCTCTTTTACAGGAATGGTGAGAACTAGGAGCGAATATTTTAATTAAACATTAGGAGGAGGAAAAAAAAAACCCACTTTGGAAAGCATACAGAAAAAGGTAGTTAACGTTGAATCACTTATAAAACGGAACCTCAGGGGGTCTAACAGAAGTGCACCTGCACTGGCCTCGCTCGCCCCCATCCGCGTCCACGCGCTGGTCCCAGTGCCCGCGGGGCCGCAGCTGCCGGGGGGGAGCCGCCCGCCCTCACAGGGTCCGGGGGTTGTACTCCGGCAGCTTCCCAATCTTCTCTTTCTCGGACTCGCCTTCGTCTCTCGCTATCACCAAGGAGTGTGAATAGCCCATGGCAACCTGTGAGGACAAAGCCATGCTGCCTTGGCAAGGGGCACTGCTGTGTGTCAGGGCACGTGGCCACAGGGCAGCAAGGGGCTCTGTTCACAGGGAATACACAGGACCCTCAAGCAGTGTTTCCGGGGCCACAGTGTCATGGCAGTGCAAGTTACCCCTCTGCCTGCAGCAACGGTGTCCCGTATGGGCCAGCTCAGGTCCTGGCTGCTCCACTTGCGATCCTTGCTAATGTCTTGGGAAAGCATCAAGAGGGTGGCCCAAGTGCTTACGCCCCTGCACCCACGTGGGAGCCCTGGAATAAGCTCCTGGCTTTGATCTGACCCTGCTCTGGCTGCTGGGTCATTTGGGGAGTGAACCAGCACGTGCAATATCTTTAAATCTGCCTTTCAAATAAATAAGTATTAAAAACAAAAAAGGCATTAACATCCCTTATTGAAAACAGCCAATTGAACCATGATCCCACCATCTACACCACCTGCCCTGCCAACAGCGGCCATCTGCAGGGCCTGGAGGGGACATGGGGGTCTGGCTGGCTGGCCAGCAGGCCCACAACCCTCCTGTCGTGTGTGACTGCATCTGTGACCCAGCAGGCAAGGCCTGGCAGCCTTAGGCAAGTGTCAGCGGCATGGCCTGGCCACACTGTCCACTTCCAGAAGGGCAGCCCTACCCTGCTACCTACTGCTGAGCAGGTGTCCCAGTGAGCTGCAGTGACAGGAGCTGGCGTGACCTGACACCCCTCTCTGTTCGGAGAAGGCCCTCACCTGCTCGGAGAAGATGCCGTCCAGAGTCTTCACCTCCTGGGCTGCGGTGGAAGACTTGGGCTTGTGGTCCCCATAGCCCTGGGAAAGCAGAGGAGACACTCACAGAAATGGTGGACCACAGAACCACTTCCAGGCCCCCCCACTAACCAGTGGGAGATGCCCTGGATGCTCTGAGAGCCAGCCTAGACCCATGGGATTTGCAGGCCAAGGACATTCCAGGGTCACGGGGAATGCCGCCACATCCCTGCCCTGCCCTGTGGCACTGCGGCCACTAACAGGTCTCCAAGGGGGACCAGCACGAGGGGCAGACCCCTCCCCATGCCACCCACCCACGCCCAGCATGGTTTACGGAATGCCTGGCTCCCACTCTCCCAACGTGGCTGGAAGGACTCACACAGCCACAGGACGGGCAGGTGCTGGTCCCGGCAGGCTAGCGTGGCCCACACCACACATCACAGTTCAGCGTTAGCCCTGCCAGCTGCTTCCCCCTCCCTCTCCCCCTCGCCCTTGCGAGCTTCCAGGGCTCACCAGCTCCCCAAAGGTTGGCGAGGGGCCCCAGCTGATGGTGCTCTCGTCGGCGGCTACTATGATGCTGCTCTTCCTGCAAACGGGAACAGGTGGTCACTGCTGTCACCATCACGGCCATCTGCCCCCCCACCCCACAATGGAGCTGCTTGCTCCAGGGCAGGACTGGGGAGGAACTCGTTCCAAAGAAATGGACAGGGAGGCTGATGAATGTCCTGCCCAGGACGCGACCCCTCACGCTCCACATGCCGGAAGCTCCCTGTTCACAGATCATGTGACCATGCAGTAGCGGCCCAGGAAGGAGGGCTGCCCCCCAGCTTGCTCCACCACACAGAAACCTCCAGAATGACTTTCCTCTTGCAAGGTCAGGGAAGGGCTGGCTGTCCCAGGAGCTGCAGTGGCCACTCTGGATTCCATAATCAAGTGAGGGGCCTCTCCAGTGAGCCAAGGAAGGGACAGACCCGTTGCGTACTCCCACCAAAGCCGCTGTCACTTACCCACAGGCCAGGCTCCGGATCCTCCAGCCACACAGGTCCTGGACAGCTTTCGGGTACATGGTAGATTCACGAGAGGTGTTGGTGGCGCCCCAGAAAAACAGTCCACCTGGAAGACAACAAAGCATGTTCCCATGGAGACCAGACACCTCGAGGGCAGCAGCAAGGGGGCCGGACAATGGACCAAGGCTGACAAACGAACACTCTGCTTAGATATGCCAGCACCACAGGGCAGGCTGGGGCCAGCTATGGGGGAACATGGGGGGCCTCCTACAGCAGAGGGGGTTCGAATCCTAGCTGTCCTGCTTCTGTGTGGCTCCCTGCCAACAGGCCTGGAAGCACAATGGACGATGGCTCATTTTCTCTCTCCAATTACAAAAGTCCACCAGTACAAGGGAGAAAGTGAGCTGGGCTCCAAGATCTGGGACAAGATGGTGGCTACAGGGTTCCCATGGAAACCGATTCATGGAGGAAAGAAAGACTCCAGCATAGCTCCTGACACTCCCCCTGTGCCACCCCCCGCCCCTGCCCAGGGGCAGGCAGGGAGAGAGCACCCACCCACTTCACTGACGGCAAAGGAGCAGGTGTAGCCGGCGTAGATCTGGGAGGCACCACGGCCAGGAAAGTCGAAGAGCTTCACCAGCCGGGGCACCATCTCGTCCTTCTGCTCCGCGTGGCCCAGCCGCCCATAGCCACCAAAGCCCCAGGAGAAGACGCGCTTCTGTGAGTCCAGGACCAGCTGCAGGGAAAGGAGACCTGAGGTCGGCCCCACCAGAGAGCCTGGTGCAACCACAATGGCTCCATGGCCTGTGGCGTGCGACACCAGCATCCCGAACACCAGCACTGGTTCCCAAGTTCCACCTGCTCCACCCTCATCGTCTGATACACCTGGAAGCACAAGGGCCGCTCCTGCCACCCCACCCACCCGGATGGAGTGTGTGGACTCGGCTCGGCCGGTGCTGGCCATCGTGGCCGTTGGGGAGTAGAGATAACAGACCCTCTGTCTCTCTCCACTTCTGTGATCCTTTAATAACCAACCAACCACAGGGAAGGAGGCAACGGGGGCAGGGGCAGCCCCAGGTGCCCGACAAGGTCACTGCTGCTTTCTCTGCCAAGAATGCTGCGTCTCAATTCCAAAACCCCAAGTCTCGGGGCTGGCACTGCTAACAGGTTAATGTTAATGTGACGTCAGACACCAGCTTGGCTGTTCCACCTCTGATCCAACAGTCTGCTAACGCAGCTGGGAAGCAGCAGAGGATGGTCCCTGCACCCGCACGGGAGAGTTAGAGACTGGGCACGCTGTGACTGCCTGGAGAGTAAACCAGCTGATGGAAAAATCTCTAAGCCCACCTTTCAAAAAAAAGAAAAACACACCCCAAACTGTCTGCCCTTCTCTCATCATCAGAAGCAAGCCCTGCTGTGTAACTTCGTGCTACGTCACAGGCGAGGCTGCGGCCAGAATGGGGCCGTGTGGCCTGAACACACGGCTGAGCCAGCCCTGCTCACTAACACCAACATCACCCCGTCTCTCTGCAGGAGATGCGCACAGCCGACACCTGCGTGGGGTCCTGCAGCCCCCGGCAGCGAGCCTGGGTGAGTCCTGCTCCACTCCCAACCCCAACTGCCGACTAAGGCACAGCTTGGGAAGTGACAGGTGACAACGCAACTAGTTAATCCCCAGCCACCCACGAGGAAGACCTGGAACAAGTGCCCCACTCTCCTGCCGGCCCCGGTTCAGTGCACATTTAGCAAACGAAGTAGCCGCTTGCCCACCTGCCATACCAGCCAACAGAAGCCGCTACAAGCCCACCGTGTGCTTCCTGAGCTACGTGAACATGCGACAGCTCGCTAGGCAGCAGTCACAGCACACAGTGACGGGCAGTGATGCCTGTGGCACCGCGTCCTCTGAGGAAGGCAGGTGTCCCCCTGGGACCAGTTTCCGGCCAAGGCCACGTGCTCAGACACCAGAGCCAGCCACACGCCGTGTCCCGGTGGCGCTCCGTGAAGCGAAAGGTGTCTTACCGTGTGGTTCGCACCGCAGGCCACGTCCCGCACCACCACGTTCGGGACCGGCAGGATCTGCCCGTCCTTGGTCTTCTCGATGAAGATGGCCACGCGCCGCGGCACCAGCTCGCAGTCGTACTCTATCCGCTGTGCGCGGGCAATAAACTTCCCGTCCGAGTTGTGGCCTGTGGTGACCAGAGTGCTTATCAGCACAGGGCAGCCCCTGGCCGCTGGAGCCCAGCCGGCCCAGGGAATGGCATAGTCTGGACCTGTGGTCATGCCAGCTCCCTTCCCTGGCTGGCTGGCTGGGTTCCCCCCCCCCGAGTCCCGCCCCCTAGTGCCTCACAAAGCCATTGTGCAGGTTGAGACAAATGACTTTCAGAAAGGACAGACGGAATGGTATGCCAAGGCCAAGGCCAAGTGGGACAGAGAGGATGTGCCCCCCCGCCACTCCCCTCTGCCACAGCACCGCTTTCGCTGGCCCTGGGCCTGCTCTGGCTCCGTCTGCCAGCCACAATGCTAGGATGGTGGTCCCAGCTCCGGCTGAGCACACCCCCATGCCACACCCTCGGTCACTTGAGTGTAAAGGCACGACTGAGAAGAGTGCGAGATCCCAGGCACAGATTGCTCACACTTCCCACAGCCCCCGCCAGGACGCCTTTCTCCGCCAAAGACCTGCTGATCCTGAGGACGTGGCCATCAACTGCCAGGCCTACAGCCTGGTGCCAGAAGCCACAGCCCACCTCACAGGGCCCAGCCCTGACACCTGCTGATGCCCACAGACCCTGGGGAACAAGTGGCCACTTCCCTGACCAGGCTCCTGGCACCCACCTGGGGCACCTGCACCGAATTCCCAGCTGAGTGCAGCCCCTGGCTGCTATGGGCACTTGGGGAAGGGGAAGAGTTCTCTCTCGGTTGAATTAAGAAAAAAAAAAAAAAGAAAAAAAGGGCAGGGGGCATCACAGCACAGTTCAGCTGCAGCCCAAAACACCAACATCCCATGGCACAGTGCAGGTACAAGTCTGGGTTGCCCCAAAGTGGATCCAGCTTCCTGCTAATGGGCATGGCATGGCAGGGGAAAGTATCCTACTCACAAGACCAGAGTGGAGCTGCAGGCGCCTGGCTCGGTCCACTGCAGCCATGCAGTGAGTAACCTAAGGCATGGTGGTCCCTGTGGTCTCCTGCACAGGGTGGATGGGCACGCAGTCCGAGGGTCTCAGCCCTCCGAGGCCTGGATGCGGGGGACACCTGAGCAAACCACTGAGACTAGGGACCAGGAAGCTCCTTCTCATCAAAAGGTGACATTTAACCCTTGGGCTCTGCAGGTAAGGCTGCAAGCAGAGGGCCAGGGGAGGGACGGTGACAGGGATATGCCAATCTCCCAAAGACCGCCCCACAAGTCCCAGCTGAGCCAATCAGCTTTCGCCCTGTTCCCAGCAGAAAGTACTGGACGCCCATTTCGAGGACTCAGGCAGGCAAGGTGGTGCTGGAGGGGCCGTTCTCCATCCATTTGTGACTTAGGTATATTTAGTTTCAGAATCCCTGACACCTGCAGTCTAAGGCCGAGGAGTCACTGTGGGTTCTATTTATAAACGTCGCCATCTGCTGGCTGCTCACGACAGACCTGGGGCAGGGCAGGGCCAGCAGAGGGCGCCGGCGAGTCACACTGCCGAGCAGGTGGACCCAGAGACCCAGCCCTGCCAGTGGGGAGCAAAGATGGAGCAAGTCCCTGGGCAGCTAGGGCACCCCGCGCGGGTGAGACACCCCACTCCTTCTTCAAGGGAGGGGCCACATGGCGTAGAGGCGGCTGCCTGGTTCCACAGCTTTGAAGCCATGTTACACAGACGCATCCAAACATCCAAATCTTTTGTAGGCCTCCAGCCCTGCCATTGTCCCTGGAGCCCGGCCACAGCCGCTCCCCAAGCCCCAGACCCACTTAGCAGGGGGCAGCTTTCATCTGTGATCAATGGTCCACACCTCTCACCCACAAGTGCAACCCATAGCCTGTCGGCTCTCCACTCACAGCTAGATCACAAAGCTTTTAGAAAACAGACAGGCATACCCAGCTGACCATATTCAGGGCACCCAAAGGAATACAGGTTTCCTTTGCAGTCCATTATCATGCTGAATTCGGCCCCACAGGCCATCTTGGTAATTGGCTGGCCGTTGTACATTATCTGAAAAGACAGAACAGCAGACAGAGCTATTCCAGGAGACCAATTCAAATCCCACCTTCCCCTGCAGGTCGGTGGGCAGCAGTAACCAGGTTAGAAACAAGACGTTCCAACACTTCCCAAGGCCATGTTTCCAGAACACAAAAGCTTAGTTTGTTCGCAGAACTCTGTGCAGCCCCACCCCCAGTTTAGGATGCAGTTCAAAGCAGGGTGCCTTACGGAGGGTGCTCAACTCAGGGACTAGCCTGGAAACAACAACAGGGGTCAGGGGAAAACAGAGGCCGGTGCGGGTCCCAGACTTCACCCTGTCTGTCAGTACGGGCCTTGGGCCCTTTATTTATTTTTTTTTTTTAACACTTCCACCCTCTTTTCCTAAAGGAAGCCCTCAATTAGACTTTATCTGCTCCTATCCAAAGGCAGAAGCGCTGTGATTTCATTGGTCTTAATTGAGGATGTGAACAAGAAATAAAGCAGCTCAAAATCCCAGAGCGTTGCTGCAGCCAGCATTTAGATGCTACCTTCACGGCAGAGTGGTGGCTCAACCAGCTAATCCCCCCTTACAGGTGCCGAGATCCCACATGGGCACTGGTTCAAGTCCCAACTACTTCACTTTCCATCCAGCTGCCTGTTTCTTGCCTGGGAGACCTGGAAGAAGCTCCCGATTTCTCTTTGTAAATCTGCCTTTGCAGGGCCCGGTGGCATGGCCTAGCGGCTAAAGTCCTCGCCTTGAACGCACCCAGGATCCCATATGGGTGCCAGTTCTGATCCCGACAGCTCCACTTCCCTTCCAGCTCCCTGCTTGTGCCCTGGGAAAGCAGTTGAGGACAGCCCAAAGCTTTGGGACCCTGTACCCATGTGGGAGACCTGGAAGAGGTTCCTGGATTCCGGCTTCAGATCGGCGCAGCACTGGCCATTGCGGTCACTTGGGGAGTGAATCATCAGATGGAAGATCTTCCTCTCTGTCTCTTCTCCTCTCTATATATCTGACTTTGTAATAAAAATAAATAAATCTTTAAAAAAAATCTGCTTCTCTCCCCAATTCTGCCTTTCAATTAAGTTTTAAAAAAAGGTTCAAAATCAAGAAAGCAGAAGCAAACAGCAAATTCAACATGGAGTTTGGCGACAAGTTGCTTTAGCACACCAAGTGACCCACCAGGACCCCACCAGTGCTGGAAATGTGCACCGAGAACAGGGGGATGGAACAGGAGACCCCCAGGGATGCACCACCCACTGCTCTGTCCTGCGGGGGACTGGGGGGCCAGGGGGGCCAGGCCACACCCTTCAGCACAGGAAGGGCTCCCCCAGCCTCCCCTAAGGCACTGCCTGGGCGCCCAGCACTGCAGCCGTGCGCCGGTCCACGTTCCAGGCTTATACCTCACTCCTCCAACGGGCTCCAGCGACCTAGCAACAAGCACCTGCCAGCCACCTTTGTTCCCAGTGCCTGAGGTCACACAACACGCACACAGCATCCTTCACTCAACACAACAGTCTCGGCAGACTTCTCCTTTGGCTTGTCAGGGTGTTTTTCACCTTGGCCAGACACTCAACCCTTCCAAAGACTACACTACTGAGAGGGTCTAGGCCATCTTCCTTGAAGGGTCCATGAACTCCATGGTGGGAAAGAGGGCACAGCAAGAAGTCAAGCACCGAAGGCAAGAGAAACCCACACCGCAGTCTGCACGGGGGCCGGGAGCTGGGACCGTCACCTGTGCCGGGCTGGGGACAGCATCGGTCTGGTTGCCAAGGCCCAGCTGTCCCATCTTGTTCTCTCCAAATGCAAACACAGAGCCCGTTTCTGGAAGAAAGGAAAACACCGCTGAGCATTCTGGACAAGGGTTGGAACCAAAGGCATCGAAGTAATAAAACTGGCCCATGTATCAGACGCAACAGCATTGAGTGTCCAAAGATGACGACACAAGAGTGGAACCAGCACACACCACATTGGGGGTGTGCCCAGCCAGGGCCTCGACTCCCCCATGGGGTTGGTTACAGAGGCAGCTCTCAGGCCCTCACCGTGGTTCCAGCCCGCATGGAGGGCCCCCAGCTTCCTGTCCAGGCCCCTCCTTACCTGTCAGTGCCAGGGTATGGTTGCGCCCGCACGCTGCAGACACAATCACTTCATGGCTCAGCCCTTCGATGAGTCTGGGAGCTTCCACCCTCTTGGTGTCGCCATGTCCCAGCTGCCCCTTCTCATTACGACCTGCAGATCACAGCATGCCAAGTGAGAAACGTGCAGGTGGCCAGAGTACCCCATGGCACACACACTGACGGGCGGGCCGTGGCACCTGCTGCCACACCCACCAGGAGCTGTGGCCAGCTCGGGCTTCCCAACAGCAGGTGGGGGAGAGTAGCCAGGGCGGGCAGCAGTGCCATCCTGGAGATGGGGCTCACCAGGACCTGCCTCACCTTCCCACATCTCTGCCACTCATCTGGCCGTCATGCATGTGTCCCGAGAGAAGCGACTCCCAAGGCCCTTCACTCAGATGCCACATGGTGGATGTCCGCACAGCAGCTAAGTGGCTGCTGGGGACACACCATGTTCCACTTCGCAGCCTCGGACTGAGGCCCAGTTTCTCAGCTTCCAGTCACTGCACACCCAATTCTTGCTAAGGCAGCACTTGGGACTCGAGCACGAAGCCCTTGCCACCTACACAGGATGTCCAGGAGGGCTCCTGGCTCCAGCTTGACGCAGTCCTGGCTGCTGCACTTTGGGGAGAGCCAACAGATGGAAAATTTCACACTCTCCCTCTGCCTAGCAAACAAAATTTAAAAATACAAATAAAAACTACCCTTTGTTCTCAAGCATTCACCCTGGTGCCCTGCGGATCTGCCAAGATGGCTCTGTGCTATGTGTCATTCCTCCTTCCATCTGCCCCCTTCCATCTTCCCACCCTGGAACGACCCCTTCCCGGGACCAGTCAGACTAAGGGCAGTTCTGAAACCACACCTGGCTGGCTGCTCTGGGGTGGGACCACCCCGCATGGCCCCCACACTGCAGCCATGGCCTCTAGCAAGGTGGGCCGGCCCACAGAAACCTCAAACCACAAGGCCGCAGGCACAGAAGAGTCAGAGGCACGTCACACACTCAGACAGGAGCCCACGCACACTGGCACCTGGGGAGGCTGGTGGATGGGGCTCCAGAGGTGGAGCATTCTGGTGCTTTCCGCCCTAAGGTCCAACAGCAAGTGGAACCACGGGGCTGACCACCTGGGAGGCTGCCGGGCCAGTGAACGGCCCGTGTTCATAGGGGGAATTGCCATGATGTGCCCACTGCCAGACCGGTGAACAGCCCAGGTCCACAGCGGGTCTCGCCATGATGTGCCCACTGCCAGGCCGGTGAATGGCCCAGGTCCACAGGAGGAACTGCCACGAGGTACCCACTGCACGTCCTTCACTACACAAGGCCAGCTGCAGCCCCAGTACCACACTCTGGAAGATGCCCCCCATAGGTGTGGGTGCAGGTGCCACTGGCACTAGTGTTTGAGGACACAAACGGCTTGGCTTGACTTCACGTGACTCGGCCGACTTGCGGCCCCCACTACCCCAGGAACAGAATCCCACTCTGGAATCCTCAGGCAGCGGGATGCGCCTTGTCCCTTCCTCCAGGGTCAGCACTCAGGATGTTTTTAGCGCCATCACGCAAGCAAAACAGTCAACAGACAGGAATGGAGGTGTCTCAAGTTGGAACAGGATCAAATGCTGTGCTGGGCCCTGGATTCCGAGGGAGGCAGCCTGCTCTGGAGGAGGGGCGCCAACGGGGGCAGGAGGGGGGAGACGACAAAGCTGGGGCAGCCTCGACAGGCCCCCCAGAGCCTGCCGGGGTGAATCTGGGCCAGGCACGCCGGTTAGCTTTGCTCCGACACAATGACAAAATTAGCAGGGTGCAGGGAAGACAACAGATGTTCGTCCATTTGGACTTGGGTACAGCAGCTCATGAAATCACAAAACATGGTTCAAACAGACTGAAATAAAAACGCAGTCACATGGGGCTCAGGCTAGCCAGAGGCCCAGCCACCCAGGCGGGGACATCCGCCAACAACCCCAGCTGCAGAAGCAGTGAGGAGCCCCCAGAAGGGCCTGGGGCTAAGATGCGCTTAGGGCTGCTTCCTGTTCCAGAGCAGGACACCCAGCTGAGAGGGACAGACCCCGCAGGGGACAGGAACCAGCCCAAGCTCCCAGGTGAGCAAAGAACCACCCAGGGGAAACAAATCAATGCCAGAAACAGCCCATCAGGGAGTCCTGCAGAGACCCACTGTCTGCAGACCTGGTGCAGGACAGGTGCCCCCACAGGGGCAGGTGGCCAGAGCAGAGGGCTATCATGGTGGGCCACCAAGCAGAGGGCCTGGTCAGAACATTCAGCAAGAGGCTGCTGGAGGTGAAAGAGTGGGAGGCCGGATGGCAGCAGCGGGTGCATGGGGGTTTAGAGAGGGCCAGAAGCAGGGCTGCCCACTCCCTCAGCCCTCCCCCAGGGACCTGGCCCACACAGTACTCACCCCAGCTCCACAGCTTCCCTTCTGTGGTGATGAGAAGGCTGTGTGCAGCACAGGATCCCGAGACCACCGTCCGCACCCGGACCCCCGACAGGCACCCATACCTGTGCGGCCCCCACAAATTCTGACCAAGGTTCCGGTAAGCAGCTATGAGGAGAGTAAAAACACAAATCAACTCCCCTGGGGGGAGGAAAACAGGGGCTCCGAGTCCCTCTCCAAAGGTCTGTCCCTGGGAGCCAGAAGCCAGGACGCTACCCCCTTGCTGGTTGGTGAAGAATGGAGGGCAGTCCGACACGGGCTGGTGGGGAGTGGGGGCGGTCTCCGAGATGGCCAGGGCTCAGGAGCTGGCTGGCCCTGCCCCCAGCACCCCTCTGGCCACTATTCCACTCCCTCCCCCCAACTCCAAGCATCTGGCTCAGGCCCAGGAGACACCCCTCACCTATGCCCAGCCCTCCCCGCCTTCCTGGCTCTGGGGCGCCTCCAGCAGCTGCCGCTGTTCCACCTCCCCAGTGGGCTATTTCCTCCTTGCTCAGGCCTAGGCCAGTCCACCACCCCTGGTCCTTCCCAGCCCCTCCTCAGAGAAGCTCTTCTCATCCTCCTGCCAACGTTGAACTCTGCCCCTTAACCACAGCCAAACCTCCTGAATCAAGAGGGCCGTGCACGGCTCTGGAGGCGTGCCTGCAGGCCACAGCGACTGACTGTTCTCCAACCACAGCCAGGCCCACCAAGACCACAGCAGGAGTCAGGCTGCTGCGAAGAGAGCAGGCCACAAGAAAACCAGCAGTGTCCTGGGCACCCCAGACGCCCCACTGGGACTTCCCACAGTGCACTAAGTTAAGCTGCTGCTTCACACATGCGTCCCATATTGGAGCACCTCTTCAGCTCCCAGCTGCTCCACTTGCAATCCAGCTCTCTAACAGCCCAGGACACGCAACAGCAGGTCCCTGTCAGCAACCCGAGATCCAGCTGAGGATCCTCACCTAGCCCTGGTCATTACAGCATTTGGGAAGTGAGCCATCTCACTCTCCCATCAGCTCTGACTTTCAAATAAATCTTTAAAAAAAAAGGCTTTTCAAGAGAAAGTGAAAGCAGAAAAACCACATCAGGTAGCCACTCTATTACAGCAAAGCCAAGGGCAGTGACGGGAACGGGAACATGGTGTGGCTCACCGCGTCCCTCTGGCCTCCCGAGGACACAGGCCGGCCCCAACCAGCAGGTCACCCAGGCCCAGGGGTGGCTAAAACCCAGTGGCTCCACTGCAGAGTAGCTCCCTGCTGATGCGCCTGGGAAAGCAGTGAGGGCAGCCCAAGACCTTGGGCCCCTGCAACCACCCGCGACTAGGAAGAAACTCCTGCTTCTGGCCTCGGCCTGGCCAGCTCTAGTCGTTGCAGCCCTTTGAGGGAGTAACCCAGTAAACGGAAGAACTCTCACCTGTTTTACATTAAAAAAAAAAAAAACACAGTATTTTTTTTTAAAATACAAGAACTGAAGCAATAGAGGCCAGCAGAAGCCTCCAACATGCCATGCGGGCTCATCCCTGACCTGGATGCAGTTACCACGCAGGCAGCACATCCCAGAGGAGTGGCGCCTGTAGGTCCTGCCCAGGCCAAGCCACTCCTCCAAGGTGCCAGCAGGGTGTGCAGTGTGCAAATATTTGTTCAAGGGGGAAAGCCGTGCTGGCAGAACTGCGGAACTCCTTCCAAACAAAATCAAGAAGCCGTAAGAGATGGCGAGGCGCCAGCCTTCCAGCCCGGGATCGGCCTGTCTCCCGAGGACAGCTGGGTGGGGACAACCGGTTACTTCTCCCTCCACGCCTCCAGACCGTCCCTGGGTCGCCAGCTCCCTCCAGCAGCTGGCCAAGAACCACGGCCCCCAGCAATGTGTGACACATGAAACCTGGCGGTCACTAGGGTGTCACTTCACAGGCCAGCTCTCCACTGTCGTGAAGTCACAGGGAACGAAGACAAAGGGTCCTGTTGGTATTTTTATCTAACCTTACTGTGGCAGAATTGTCAACTGACAAACACGAGACCAGGATTCCAATCCGGCTGTCCTGACAGTGGCCACCTTGAGCAAGCCACCTGGCCACTCTGCACAGGTGTGCACACTGAGGACCCTCCTCCCCGCCCACGGGCCCCAGGATCGCCCAGGACACCTAGCACACAGGACGCGTGCAGTGGGTTCAAACACGGTTCTCATACCTTGTTGCTTAGGCACTTCTTTCCGACCAATCAGGTCCCAGTTGGTTGCCCCAAAAATCAAAAGCTGCCCTTTGCACTTTGAGCCTTCAAGTTTCTGAAGACAAAGAGGAACAAGAATTAGCTTGTTAAATAAAGCTGCTTCTAGCTTCCCAAGGCTGCACCGCGACAGTGGGGGGCCCTGACCGACATTCCCCAACCCCTGCACAGCAGCCTAGTCCCTTTCGCTCAGAGGCACCTGCTGTGACTCAGGGCAGGCAACAGGGACCTGACTTCCCAAGCCAGCAGACATCCACCTGTGGCCTTCACACTCTAAGGAGCCCCCTCCCCACGCCATCATTCCACTTAGTCATTCCTGCAGTCTGCTGCCCACTGTGCAAGGAGCTTTCCAAGGGGCACTGGTAGCCCAGCGATAAGTGGTCAACTTTCCCTAGGGAAAGGAGGACAAGCGAGGCCTGTGGACCGCCTATACACGTGGCTTTCCACGGGTCACACACTGCCGACTGAGCCGAGTGGCAAAGGCTGTCACTCCAGTCATGGCACCCTTGAGGCTGCCAGCTGTCAGACAGACCCACCTGCCCCATCCTCTACACCACCATCCCAGCTGAAAGGAACGAGGGCTCCCGGGGCTTCCGGAATTGCTCTGTACAGGCCGAAAGGCCATCATTCCAGCCTCAGGCAGCACTGCCCAGGCTGGCTGCTCACATTCAGTGTGGTTTGTGACTTAAGACTCCATGTGTCTGCCACCAATAAATTCTGTTTCTTGGAGATGCAGTGAGACCCAGACCTGCAGTTACAGACTCCCCACCCCCATCACCGCCACCACACGACAGGCCAGCGTGCAGGGACACATCCCACACCGGCACCACAAGAGAAGTGAGACAGCAGCAGCGGAGAACTGGACCACATTAACTAGAGAAGGCCCGAGTTGGAGCACAGCCACTCCAGCCCCGGGGCCAAGTTTCCCTTGGTTATCTTCCCTTCCCTGTGAGCTGGTACAGGTGACTGCAACACTGCAGGCTGCAGCGGCAGGGTCGGGGCAGGTCCCCCTGGACAGCAAATCCAGGGACCCCTTCCTGACTCGTATCCAAGTCAGCAGGCAGGCACTGCCAACAGAGGTGGGAAGAAATGCCACCCTGTGACCCTCACTCCAGATCCGTTCAAGGGCAGCAACCACCCAACACGAGATGCAGACACTCCAGCCAGACAGCCCCAGCACAGGGCAGGAGCTGTGACCAGGCGGCCCAAGCTTGCTACCACCCACCGGAGCTACAGCAGGGACCCGCCCAAGGCTTCCTGGGTGACCCATGGACACTGCTCTGGCCAGGCAGCCAGCTGAATACCTGCACCAAAACCCAGCCTTGCTGACAAAAGGTAATCACGGGGACCCTGGGCAACCCGAGCCCACTGCCCCGATTCCTGGACTTCCCCAGGTGTGCGCCCTGAGCCCAACTTCCTCATACCTCCTTAGGTACAAGTAACTTCTATGATCTCTGCCCTGTCCCCGACTTCTGTATGAGGAGTCTTAACTCTTCCCTCCACACTGTATGGAATCATGAGAGTAAAATCCCTAACTCACAGCCCAGGCATGGCTTCAGGGGGACAGGGACCCCAGCTGACTGCCTGACAGCTCTTCAGGGGACATCCAGGACAGGTATCAGGGCTGCCCAAGTTCCAAGGCTGGAAGACAGTCTGAGACCTAATCCTGACCTCATGGCTCAGCAGCTGCAATGTTGCTTGCATGTAAAACAAACAAACAAACAAACAAAAGGTCCTCCAGGGCAGCTGATTGCCTCTCTGCGACCAACAGGCTGCTCCTGCAGCCTCAGCAGGAACACTGCGAGCGTCTTCAACCAATGGCACGGGATTTCTGGACCATAGCAATTTTTGAGGGTTTTTTTTGCCAAGCCTGGAGAAGCTAGGAACAGCTTCCCTGGGTTTGCTAGGATTGCACCAAGGATGCCTCTTTCACAAGGGACGAGGGCTCAGTCAACCCTGGACGGTGACAAACTGCTCACTGCACGTGACCTACAGGCAGCGCTGAGGTCCTCTGAGAGACAGTCTCCAGACGGAAAACCCTGGGTGGGCACACAGCCACCTGTCACTCCCCAGGCTCTGCTTCCTCACCCGGCCCAGCAGTTGGGGCTTGTGCGGCTGCACTCCCGCCCCTGCCCCCAGCAGCCTGTACCGTGGCCAGGATTCACTGCCCAGGACAACAGCCAGTGACAGCAGACAGCATCCCCAGGACTGACCTACAGAGAGACCAGGAACCCGGGGAAAGCTAGCAACAAGCAGGAGGCTAACCTGAGCCAGGAGCAGGTACAGACAGCAAGCGGCTTGGCCCGGCCCTGGCCCCCACCCCAGGGAACCTTTGCCCTGGAGAATGGGGTCCCCACATTGTGGCGCAGCCAGTGAAGCCACCACCTGCAACGCAGGCGTCCCCTACGAGTCCTGGCTGCTCTGAATTCCAACACAGTTCCAAGTTCATGCACTTGGGAATCAGGGGTGATGGCAGGGTACCCCAAGCTCCTGGCTTCAGCGACGCCAGCCACGGGCAGTGTGGCCAATAGGGCATGCACGTAAATTCTTCTCAAAGCCACCCTCTCAACAACTCCCAGTTCAACCCCCGACTCATGCACACGCAAGCATGTAAGTCACATTCCAAGACTAGACACACACCTGTGTGTGCATGTCAGCAGGCATGCCCAAGACACAAGGGGTTTCCAGAATGAGAAAAGCATGCATGGGTGTCCCATTTTTGCATACAGGTCACCTTTCAACTTCCTCTCAGATGGGAACATCAGGCCGGGAGGAATGCACCCCGCTCCTGGGCTAGGTGGGAGTGTCCCTTGAACAGCCCGTCTACTTGGTGATCCTCAGTATGGGGTGAAATGCAATCCGACAGCTGCTGGGACCTCAAACTCAGGGACACGCGTGGAAGCCACCCCCCCACACACACACGTTCTGAGTCTGTCCTAAGGCACTGACATCACAGGAAAAGGCTGTGTTGCTCCTATTCCAACTCCCTGGCCTCGGCCAAGCCCCCAGGGAAGACTTCTGACAGGTGGCTTGTGGGGACCGGTAGCTGCTTTCCACCGTCCGACCCATTAACCGCCCAGGGTTCCAGCTACGATCCTGTCCAAGGCAGCTTACCAGGCATGTCCGCTGCCGTTACCTGCACAAGGTGATGTCATCTGGACAGTTCAGACCTCGCACGCTAAGTTTCTACCCTCTTCCTCTGGCTGGGGGTATCTGACACCCTACTGATAGCTCTGACCCCCGCCACTTTCACAGCAAACTTGCAACAGTTCTGCCAGGAAAGGGTGCAGGTCTGGGCTGAACCGAGAACCCGAGTGGGCCACGGCCTTCCCTGAGCTCAGCGAACGGAAACCCATCAGACCTGGGGCGATGCTTTCCTCGTGGAGGGTCAAGGCACAGTTACCCCCCACCCTGCAAGCACCCCACAGCTCACGCGAGGCACACAAAGCTCGCTCGCGCTCTCTCCCTCCCTCCCTCTCTGTCTCTCTCTCGGGGCGGCGGGGGGAGGCTGCCCCGACCGGCGGGGAGCCCGGGGGCTCCCCGGGAGCATGCGCCCTCGCCCCCCGCCTTCCCGGCAGCGCGCGAGCCTGCGCAGGGCCGCAGGAGGCGTGCGCGGCGGCCGGCAGGCCCCGCCCCACCGGGGCGCCGGAGCCGAGGCGGCGGGAACCTCAAAGCCCCGGCGGTTTGCGCCGCTCCCCGCAGAGCGCCGGCCGCCCCCGCCCCGCAGCGCCCGGGAGCCGCCGGCGAGCACGCTGGGGGCCGGGCACGGACCGTGCTCCCCGCAACCTCACTCCGCGCTCGCCCGGGGGGGAAGGGGACCACCCCCCAGTCTCGGGCCTGGCCCGCGCCCAAGGTGCCCAAGGTCCCCCCTACCCGGTCCCCGGGGCGGGCGCGGGAGAGGAGCGGGAGGCGCTCACGCGGCGCCGGGGGCGGGGCCACGACCCCCCACGCGCGGGCCTCCCCTCCCCCTCCCCGGGAGCCCGGGGCGCGCGCGCCCCAACGGCCAACGGCCCGCGCGCGCGGGGTCGGGTAGGCCGCGCCCGGCCGGCCCGAGCCCTTTTGTTGTGCGGAGGCGGCGGCGGCGATGATTCAGCCCCGCGGCCTCCGCCCGCGCCGCGGCCCGCTCCCCGCTCCCCGCCTTCGGGCCCAGGGGCGCCCCCCGGCACTCACGACGCGCTCCTTGGTGTACTCGGGCTCGGTGATGACCACGGCCGCGCCGGCCGTCTTGCCACCCGCCGCCGCCGCCGGCCGCGCCGCGCGCTTGCCCCCGCCGGGGGCCCCGTCGAGCTCCAAGCCGTCCTCGTCGCCGCTGCTCCCGCCGCCGCTGCTGCTGCTGCAGCGCTCGGGCCGCTCGCGCTTCCTGCCCGCCGGGCCGCCGCGCTTCCTGGGCCCGGCGCGGGCCGTGCCGTTGCCCGAGCTCGGCTCCTCCCAGGCCGCCGCCGCCGCCGCCGCCGCCTTCTTCCTGGGCATGGTCGCGGCTGCAGGGAGACACGGGGCCGCGGCGCACAATGGACGGGTTATAAACCGCGCGGGGGGAGGGGAGCGGGCCGAGCCGCCGGCTCCACTTCCTCCCGGCCCTCCCCGAAGTGGCGGCCGCGGGGTGGGCGGAGAGGGGGCGAGCCGGGAGAGGAAACGGCGCGCGGGCCCGGCCGGCCGCCCCCCGGGGGAATCCCGCAGGGCAGCCGGGCGCCAGGAGGACCCCGGCCCACCCTCAAGTTCCGAGTGTCCACAAAGCATCCCAGTTGCCAGCCGCTCCTCCTCCCTCTCCGCGCCCCCACCCCCAGAAAGTCGAGGGGAAGGCCACCCCCCCATCCCGAGACTCCGATGGAGGCTTTGGGACACTTTAAAGGTCCCCGAGCCGGAGCGCAGCGCGCCCCACCTGCTGCTTTTGTCTGCGCGCCCCCCTTCCCCAAGCCCACTCAAGGGGCGGCGAGGAACCCCCGGGACCGGCACGACACCCCAAAGTCGCCCGGACCCCGAAGGTTCCAATCTCGGGTCACCCAGAGCCAAATCTCTCAGGGAGGGGGTGGGCTGCCCCCGGCCCGGAGTAAAGGAACCCGAATAAAGACGGCCCCTAGCCCCCAAGCACCTGCTCGCGCAGACAGGGGAAAAAGGGAAAAAAAAAAAAAAAAACAACTTTAACGGTGCGCGGGGCCCCCCGGCGTCCCTGCGCGCTCCTCCTGTCTGCCTTTTTTTTTTTATATTGATTTTGAACAATGGGATCTCTGTCTGTCTCCGATTAAACCACGTGGATCCGCCTTCCTTCCCCTTTTTATTCATTCATCCCCCACTACCCCTCCCCCAGGATATTTTTTTTTTTTTTACCTTTTTTCTTAAAAAAAAAAAAAAAAAAAAAAACTTTCCCAGACCCCGCAAACTGCTGGCTGTGGCTGAGCAGCCCTTACCTGGTTAGAACGCTGAGAAAAAAGGAAGAGAAGCGACTAGGAAGCGGATCGGAGGGCGTCCCGCTACCCCCCGGCCCAGGCGCAGGCTCCAGCCCCCTCACCAGATAGACTTAAAATGTAAATACGAGCTTCCAGAACAAATGCTACAACACAAAACAGAAACACATGTGCGGCCGGCGGCAAGCGAGCGCTCGGCGGGGCGCGCAAAGCGGGGCTCGGGGCGCGCGCGCCGCCTGCCGGCCGGCGGACCCACGCGCCCCCCGCGCTGCACCCCCAAGCTCCATCGGCCCTCGCGCGCCTGCACCCCGAGTCCCGGGCCGCCGGGGCTCCCCACGGGCGGGAAGGGCCCCCGGGACGCGCGCGCGCGAGGAGGCAGAGTCCTGGCACGCAGCGCGCGTCCTGCGCGTCCCAGGCCTCTCTGGGAGCTGGGGAGAAGGTGAGGTTTGTGTACCCCCCCAGCCCCGGTGCAGGGCGCGTCTAGACAGGTCACCTGAGGACACTCGCTGGCGAAGAGTTACGTTTTGCTCCCGCAGCGGCCAGCAAGGGACGTGCCCTAATTGAGTGATTGGAACGAACTAAGCGATGAATACTATTTGAATAATTGTCTCGGGCGCAGAGAGAGGCCGGGTTCTGTTTGCCTGTGGGACGGGTCCGCAGCAGGTAGCAAGGTGCTGTGACTTGATGAGAGTGACCTATGTGAAGCTTTGAGCTTAAGCAGCGGTTTTCGCTGAAAGCCCAGGAAGTCGCTTGGGATGGAAATTTTTCCTTTGGGGCAAGCGTTTAGCTGAGCTGAGCTCCCGGTGCCTCCAGGGCTGGGAGAGGCAGTCCTGGCCGGCCACTGTCGCAGGGGAGAGACGCAATGAATTCCCAGGACGCTGTGGGCCTGGCGGGGCCAGGCGAGTGACCGTCCTCCGGCATCAGGGAGGGCAGCTTGTGCAGAGTTAAGCTACCCGACTTAGAGGGCAGCCAGAATTTGTCTGCCAAGCGGTAAGAGGCGATTCGAGCCAGCTGCAACGATGCTTGAGGCCGGAAAAGAGGCCTCGGAGAGCACCTTGCTCCGGGCTGACGCGGCGGGTGGAGCCGCTGCCGCGATGCCCAGGCAGCCCCGTGTGCCAGTCGTCCCTGTTAGAAAGGTCTTGTTGAAAACCTTTTGCTTTCTCCCCACTCATTGCTCGACTCAAGTCAGGAAGGAGGTCTGGGAGACCGAGGGGAACGGCAAGGTCTCTGATGGAAAGTCGGTGTCCAGGGAGAACTTTGGAAATGGCAAATCAGCTAGTACAGATCAGAGGTTTCCAGAAAGGTCAAGACCAAGGGCAAGCCTCCTCCTGAATGGGTCTGCATGTGAAAGAATTGCCAAGGTTGAACCCCGGTGCTTTGATGTGAAAAGTCGGCAGAGCCAACGGCCTCCCTGTGGCATCCAGTCCCCTCCTGGAAGTGGCGTGCTGCGGCTTGTCAGGCTCCGCGGTTCCTTGGCTGGTTATCCTCCCAGCAGCCTGGGTGGCCAATTAGGACCGCCACCACCAGTGCCTGTAGGTTTCAGCCAGCCAGCCCTTCGCTTTCTTCCTTCCTGCCCCATTATCTTCCTTTTTTTTTTTTCCAGCATAAAAGACACGTGCGTCAGAAACACTGATGCAACCAGACGCTAATATCACATTGCGTCACCCAATCCTAGGTGTGGCGCCCCCGAAACTGGTTTTTCTTGAAGCAACAGAGAAGCACCTCAAGAACAGCACCCGTGCGCACGCTGGCCCTACTACTCAGGAGTGACAGAGTCAGGTGCCCCGGTGCTGCATTGTAACTCTCCCGGACGGAAGGGAGGGCTTGGGGGCCTTCACAAAGGAGGCGTGTCACACTGCCACTTATGTAACATCATGTTCTACTGCAAGGTGTGCCTGCCAGGCAAGCCGGAAAGCCACACTTCCTCCCCCAAAATGTGCTTGGGAGTTCGCCTGACTTTGACTAAATGACGCCTGTCTCGGGAGACGGGATGAATCTGCAGAGCCTGGGGAGGGGTGGTGACAGAGGGCTCCTGGGCACTCAGCACCTGTGCTGGCACTGTGCGTTTCAAAACTGACCAAATGTGGGCTCGGGGCACCAGCCTGCTGTCACCGGTGGCTCTCTGTTGGGTGAGCTCATTTGTCAAGTGTGATCCAATGTAATTCTGTTGAACTTGGCCATGGAAATCCATACCTGTAGTGAGAAGGTTTTTAGGGGGTCGACACCGTGGAGTTTCAGGTTAGTCTTCTGCCTGCAACACCAGCCTCCCTTATGGGCGCTGTCTCCAGCTCTTCCATCTCTGACTCAGCTTCCTGCTTATGGCCTGGGAAAGCAGGGGAGGGTGGCTCAAGTTCTTGGGCCTCTGCACCCACACGGGAGACCCAGATGGAGTTCCAGGCTCCTGGAGTTGTCCTGGCCCAGCCCCAACTATCGTAGCCATTTGGTGAGCAAACCAGTGTGTGGAAGATCTCTCTTTTTCTGCCTCTTTGTTTCATCCGTTCTCTCTCCGTAACTCTGCCCTTTACACTAAAAGTCTTTTAAAATGAATGCTTCTGGACTTCATATTCCCCAAGCGGGAGACTAGGGGTTTCTGGAGGGTGATTTCCTGTCGGGGGTTGCTCTCCAGGAGATAGGTGCAAGCCCCGTTCATGCCACTGAGTCCTGTCACTTTAGAACCCAGAGGGTCTTTAAATATTGCAGGACTTGGAGCCCACGAGGGCTGCCTGGGCTTGGTGTGCGGTTTCCTTATCTCTGATTACCACAGGCAGCCTGCTGGGCAGTAAACTGTGTGTGTGTGTGTGTGTGTGTGTGTGTGTGTGTGTGTGTACACCTCAGCAATGCCCACAGGAAGAACTGAAGGCTGGAGAGACTCTAAGACCCGCTATTGACACACACTCTTGGTTGGAGAGCCTGGGGACATGCCAGTCCGCAGACCAACCCAAGCGGCTCTTGACGTGGTCTCTGGGCCACCAGCTGGTCCATTCCCGAAATGCACGCAGAAGAAAGGGACAGGCCAGGCCCAGATCAAGAGCCCAGAGCTTCATCTGGGTCTCCTGCATGGGTGGCAGGATCGGGCACCTGAGCCTTCCCCTGCTACCTTCCAGGGTGCATATCAACAGGAAGCTGGCTTGGAGAGTACAGCCAGGATTCGAACCCAGGCACTCTGGCACAAGCTGGGCACATCCTGAGTAAAGCCTTCACCATTATACTCATGCCACACCTGCGTTTTCCACAGATCTCCTGGGTGACTTTTAGGGACCCGAGAGATGAGAGGAGCTGCTCGCAGCCATGCCTGCTGACTGCTGGAATCCTGTCTAGTCCAAGGCAAGAGGTTTGGGAGGTAAGATGCTGGAGTCCCCCAAGAAACTGGCCTGAGAAGAAAGAAGGCTGAAGAAAAGGTAAGAGCTGTGGACTGAGCCAAGCGCTGCTGCTCCTGCTGGAAAGGCTTGGAGGTGGGGCTGTGCGCTCTCACTGCCCCTGTCATGGTCACAGGCAGTCAGCGAGCAAGCGCTGCATGCTTGTGCCCCCGGCTGGTTCTGCTGTTCCTCCTTGCACACAGGGAAATTCAAAAGAAAGCTGAGGTGAAAACGGGCACACTTAGAGATTAAATCTCACTTGTCACACCTGAGAAAGTCAGAACTAAACATCGACTTCATCCGAGTCCGTGTGCTACGACCCCCAGTGCCCCCCGTGCCGCACGTGTACTTGCACTTAACGTTGGCTGGCTTAGGGCCCATCCGTGATGTGTACATTGGTCCTCAGTGATTTTTGTAAGTCATTTCCCTGATCCAGGTTTGCAAACGGAAGTCATGTCCTGCAGGCAGTGCGCTGTCCCTGCAGGAGGACGGTGTGGGTGTGAGGGTTGGGGCTGAAGCAGGAGACAGAGATCCAAACGCAGGGCCCGCCTCGTGGGCGTCCACCCAGCGCTGGTTGTGAAAGCCGGAAGTCCATCCCGAAGAATCAGGGTGGACAGTGAAAAAACACAGCTCGGGGCTCCGCTGCAGATCTGGGTCATTTGCCTGGAAAGTCAGTGACAAAGCACCAAGGGATAGTCTGTTCAACAGATCTGGTGGCCCTGGCAGCCAGAAGCCACGCCACTTGACACTGAACACTCCTGTGAGCCTTAAAAAGCCTTTGAAAATCCAAGAACTCCGCCGCGTGAGGAGGTCCCAGGGGCCCAACTACCTGGGCTGTCTAACTTGCAAGTTCCTTTGCACGGGGGTCTGAGCCAGAGCCAGCCAGTTGGAGCGTGAGCTCTCAGCCCGTGCATTCGTTCCATGGAGCAAGCTTTGCTTATCACTGCAGCCTCCACAGGCATCGGGCTGCTGGACGCCAGGGGCTGCTGTAACACAGGACCCCAAAGGGGGCAGAGGGGTGGGGGAGAGAAAACAAAAACTCAGGGTGGACATCTGGCCCCATGGGTTGGGACACTGGTAGGTTCCCCGTGTTCCACCATTGTGAAGTAAACCAGCCAATGGGAGATTACTCTAGCTCTCTTTCTCACTGCCTTTAAAATACATATATATATAATATTATATTATATATTATATATATTTATATACTATATATGAGAAATAAATAAGAAAAATCTGTTGGTTCACTCTGCAATGGCCACAATGGTTGGAGCTAAGCCAATCTGAAGCCAGGAGCCAGGAGCATCTTCTGGATCTCCTATGTGGTGCAGGGTCCCAAGGCTTTGGGCCATCTTCTACTGCTTTCCCAGGCCACAAGCGGGGAGCTGGATGGGAAGTGCAGCAGCCAGGACACGAACCGGTGCCCATATGGGATCCCAGCTCTTACAAAGCAGAGGATTAGGCAATTGAGCCATCATGCTGGACCCTTTTTCTGTCTCTCCTCTCCGTAAATCAGTCTTAACTAAAAATGAATAAATCTTTAAAAAAGCAGTGACCTCATGTTTTATTGTTCACCAAAGCTCAATTTGATACAACAATGTGAAGATAAAGTGCATCAACATAAGGGATTATGATACATTAGTTACATTTCCTTCTTCTCTGAGAATCAGAGGCAAAGCAAGTGCTCAAGCGCCCCCATCTTGGGACCAGCATTGTGGCACTTTCAAAATAACTTAAGGGCCTGGCACAGTAGCCTAGTAGCTAAAGTCCTCGCTTTGAATGCA